CAGACGTGACCACCTTTAAAATACCATATACGTATATCTGATGGCGTTAGATTGATAATGTTGTATACTCACAACCACAACGTCACCAATAGAGAGACTTTTGACACCATGAACAAATATTATACCAAGCCAAAAGCCGGCACATAAGTCCAATACAACAGCATCAGTTGAAAACGGGTGAAGACACCGAGCACAATGCCTTTCTTGATACCATATAATCTAAGTTCATCCAAATATTTTTCATACCTAAAAGTATAGAATTAGCTTGTATTTCGTGCACACCAAAGATCTTCTGAAGCTTAATTAGGTCCTTCTGATGCACTTCAGTATCACCGAAAATAAAAGCATTTGTTTTGAAACGACTTTCATGTGACGCCTGTGTCTGAAAAGACAAAACGTGTTTCTTCACCGCTTTTGCTCCGATTGTGAGCCATTGTATGCCAAAACTGTTCGTAGTGAACTAAACACTTCTTGAACAATATTATTCGATTTTGGATAAGAATTCAATTCTTTTGTTGTTATTCTACTATTTAACTAAATGGAAAACGGTAATTGATTGCATCCTAACATCCTAACTTAAAAACATATTGGTACCAATAAACATTATTAATATAAGGGGCAAGACAATTAATGTTAATTTCCAGCTGGTAATTAGTGCAACTATACAACTTGTAATGTATAACTTGTAGTACAACTCGTCGACTGCTACTAACGATATAGGTAATCCTAAATTGCCCCCACTAATTAATTCCATTCACAATTTTTTCAACATCTCTACGAAAACCAAAAGTGTTTCACAGAGCCCTGTACGTACTCTGTTAATCTTCAACTGAGTTCTCCCGTTTTATGTGTATCAAAATATGTAATATTCTAGAACATACACAGAAAGTGACCGAGTTTGAAAATGAACAGAGTCTGTCTGTTCAACAGACAATTCTTCTTACGCGATTCATAACCGTGCAAAATAATATTTCACGTATACGATCTGTTTGCTTTTTCTCCGAAACATAGAGGAATACAAATTGAAGTTGCACAAGTAATATACTAAGCACACCAAGTCCTTCAAACCACTGACTGCAGTTTTAGTATCATAGTATTCAACAAAATGTCGAATGTCGATTGATAAGCGGCTGAACCGGTGTCTTCTAGTGTGTGTAAGGTATTTACCTACTAATTGTAACACTTTTACATAAACGTCGTATGTGAGATCTGTTCCATAATCGGTAACATTGAAAGATGAATGTCACAGTAACTGTAAAATTAACTGTAAAAATAACTGTAAGAAATTTAAGACATGAAAAACCTCCATTGAGAACGCGTCGATATTTACTGATGATAGGATTCAAAACTGAATGGATTTAACGTTAAACCGAATGGGCAATATCCACTAAGTTCATCAAAATTTAAATGACAAAGAGAAGATGTATGAGCAGCTAATGAGCTGGCTAAACGTCCGAATATAACTAAATTCACTGAAAAACAGACATCGCGTAGTATAGACGCATAGCCTGCTAGTATAATTAAGGTAACATCTGAACGATTAGCAAATCGAAACTAAACAAAAGATTAAGTTTCTTGGTTGAAAGATGAATACAATATTGATTGCACGACCTTACCAAACCAAAAATACTAACACTCTGCTGCTGATGTCTATCATTGTCTCCTTCTTCGATATTATCCACCCCTTCTTAGGAAGATTAGATACCTTCTGTCTCTTCACGACACAAACCTTCGAAAGCAGGAGTGCACCAAATTGTTCCAGAATATTCCTACTTTATTTAAGGTCAACATCAAATTCAAACTCAAACTAGATTAGTAGTTCAGTATATCTATTCGATGGTAAAGATAAATTATTTAACCGTCAATAAAATTAATTGTCATATTCAATAAAACTATGGTCGTATTGCAATTAACAACGAGATCTCCGTATCTCCACATCAGATTTGAGAGCCGATTGGTTATAGATCTATGTTTAAATTTTAGGTAAACTGCACGCCTGAGGATTATCTTCAAGAATACTACATTTGAATCCGAGCGGACACGATTTTTTTCAGTAATAACGCTGATTGAAAATGGCCTCTTACCGATTACTATTATTGCTCTTATCGGTGCTTACCGATAATCATTGTCGGTATTCTCAGTCAAACTCCGATAAACAAGATATAACTAGCCGAGTTTAAAAAACAATCAAATTTAAGCCAAACCTACGGTGATGAGTCGAAACGCTCTGAGTAGGAGTGTTATAGATGCACTTGTTATAGACGCAGTTTTCGCCTGATTTTAGGTTATTTTGAAACTTTACGAATTTTATAGACTTTTTCGTATTTTCACCGATAAACACGATAACGATTATCGGTAATATACGATTATCGTTACTGTTGCATTCCTAGTTAGTCCAGCTAGCTCTATTACTTACTTTAAAAAGAGCAAAGCTATTACTTAAGCGTTTTCAAGGATGTTCTTTCTTTTTCCCTTTTCGGAAAACTTCTAAAACTAGGAAATCGTGAAAACCGTAGTTTTTTATATTATGAATGAGACAGTAAACAAGGTAGCGGTCAGAACATGATTTTCTGAGCGATTGTAGCGCTCATTTAGACGAACAAAGAAAGCAAAACAATTGAAAATCTGGCTGGTATGAGCTGAGCAAAAAACCAAATTGCTCAAAAACACTAGGAGATCTGTACTCACCCACTAATGAACGCAAAATAAATGGATGAATCTCCAATGTATTGTACCTAATACTGTATGATTGAAGTAGCATTAGTCAGCGATGTTCTTTTCTTTCATCAAACTTATTCATGCATAAGGAGTTTGTTTCATCCAACTAATCGTACACGAGATGCTGGAAAGAAAAGGCATGAAGATTAGGTTGAGTGGGCATACTTATGTATGACACTGATGAAAAATAATATGTGCAAGGCCCATTCTTCTTCAGCTACAAAATGTTTGCGCCTCTATAGATTAAAATGGGAGAAAATGTGATAAAGGGATACTACAAGGATAACTGTGTACAAGCTTATAATTTTTACATATAGCTATTCAGACTACTAACTCTATTTGAGTTAAGGCCGACCCCCTCTCAAAAAAAAGGAATTTTCGACAAAAATATCGATTTTTAGATTTACACATAGTTAGATAGCCCATCATCTCTACTTTCGAATGCACTATAATTTATTGGTTTTTCGATGGTTTTTGAGGGTTTTACAACGGTTTTTCTGAAGACCCCTGCATCCAAAAAATATTTTTTCGAAACTTCAGCTATTGAAGTTATTTGAGCTTTTCTATACGTTTCAGACAATAAAGAATGAGTGAAAAAAGTAATCGTCGTATAAAACGAAGTAGATCGTCAATTATGAGACAAGTTCGTGCATCCAAAGTAGACGATATGGAAATTAATTCACCACCACCAGAAATTACGGATCAAGAATCGAACACATCTACTTGTTTCGTAATATCTGATTCAAAACACTGGTTTTATTATGCATATTAAATTCTGGTAATTTTATAGATTTTTTCAAAAACCAGTGGTTTTTGATGGTTTTTCGTGGGACCAACGCTTACACATAAAAACAAATGTACGTCACACATATCTCTCCATGTGCTCATTCGATTCGCCATAGTCGATAACCTATTATAAACTGCCTTCTTGTTTATTCACTACCATTTTTAAACAAAAACATCGCGATAATCAAAGAAAAAAATTGTTTTGCGTTTTTCTCGAAACTGGTTTTTTTCGTTTTATTTGACTGTGTGTCAAAGATTTCTCCGCCATTTTAAATGTTAGAAAGCTCGGGAAGGTTTTAAAATGAAGGTAAATATCAGCGCTACAATCTAACAAAGCCGGAATTTTTGTTTTCAACTTATTTGTTTACAAAAAACTCCAGTTTTCTAAAAAACTGTCTAAAAGATTAATTTTTTTTTTCAAAAATCCGGCTTTGTTAGGTTGTAGGGGTAGGTATTCTCTACATTTTGACACTATTCCGAGGTCCGTATCATTAAAATTGGAAACAAAATCTTTGACACACGGACACCTACTTTTTGACCCTTGATGTTACAATAACTCGCGAAAAACTCAATATCATGAGCTCAAATTTATACTGAGAACTATCAACGGTCAGATACATATTCAATAAAAATTTCAGTAAGATTGAGTGTTCTGGGGAAAAAAAAATTTAGAGGGGGGGGATGGGCCTTAATCCAGTCGTAGGCAATTAGGGCATGCGCCAGTTCGATAGTTCGGTCACCAAACCGTTTATTGTTGTCGCTACTGAACATGTGCGCTGCCGATCAGCGAGCCCTAGCTTGGGATGGTTGCATGCCCGATCTGGACTAAAGGCAAATTGAATGAAATTGAAACTTTTGAACGAACTAACCAGTGAGAAAATAGATTAACTAAAGCACAAGGTGAGCGAATGTGTCTTCTACCGGATCGCTACCGAGCGTGTTCGGCCGAAGATTGCAAATACGATAGTTTATATTTTTCTCATCAGAGACATCGACGAGCGCCCTGCTGACAAACTATTAGGACAAAGTACCATAAACCTTATAAAGATACATTCAAATTAGAGCTGCAACTGTCTGTCTACTTTTTCTGCACAGTGAGGAAAACCATTTTTGTGTCCCCCGTGTTCCCCAAGTCATAATCCCAGTTTTATTGGCAGATCCGTACAAAAAGACATTATTTTGAAATATGATTAGGATTTCGCCATAATGCTAAGTCGCAGTCTTTGCAAATCGGGTTGGGTCGATTTCTGTCAAATCGCGTTTTAGCCAACTGTTGTTGAATTTTAATATTTTGCCGTGCCGTTTGATGATACATTTTAAAATGCCCGCATCATTCTGGCCAGTAGTCATTTGGTTTTGTCAATGTGAACGCTGGCTGTTTTTTGGGCTAGTGGCAATGTTGGTTCTCGTCCAAACATCAGCTGAAATGGTGAATATCCGGTTGTGGCATGTTGCCCAGTATTGTATGCGTAAACAACAGCTGGTAAATAGTCATTTTAATGGTTCAAATTCTCGCCTTGTAACTTTGCTAGTTGCGGTCGAAATGTTGCATTGAACCGTTCGACTTGACCATTCGTCTGTAGATGGTATGGTATTGATTTAATGTAGTCGAAACCTATCAATTCTGCCACATTTTTCATTAATTCATTATTAAAGTGGACTCCTTGATCGGCGATGAGCCGATCTGGTACACCAAAGTTAAAGATGAGTTCTTCGACAAATGTTTGGGCAGTTGTTTGTACTGTATTGTTAGGTAACGCCTTCACTATGACAAATTTTGTCAAGTAATCGGTTATGACCAATACGTATTTATTCCCATTGTCGGATTCTTGTCTGGTTGTCCCCAAAAATGTATGCCGACTAATTCCATCGGTCCTTCTGGTGGTGGAATTGGGTTCAATTTGCCATGTGTTTTGTTCTTTTGACGTTAAACTTGGCACATTTTCCGCATGATTGAATATAACTTTCAACTTCTCCACGCACCTTTGGTCAATAACAGCGATCTTTTAGTTACGAAGAAGTCTATAAAATTCGTAAAGTTTCAAAATAACCTAAAATCAGGCGAAAACTGCGTCTATAACAAGTGCATCTATAACACTCCTAAAGCATGAGTTTTGGTCAAACCGGTTTTGCTACCTGTGCCAATAAAAAACAGAACTTAAACACGATTCTTTACTTTTATTTCGAATTCTAACCCTTAACAACCTGACAGAAAAAATATTATAAAAAAACGAGACAGCAACACTTTTTCGAAGAAAAATAAGTGGTTTCTGATATTCAGAAAAACGCATAAATACATGGATGATTGCAGATATTTTGAAAAAAACGTACTGATATTACGGTTTAAAACGTCTGTTATTCATCCGTCACACATGCTATAGAACTTTTTATTTTCTTCGATACTGTTTATGTCGTGTTCGTGAAGATATACCATCTTGACTAGCGTGAGTAGCTACATTGGGTAAAACTGTTGATGACCCTTGTATTGTGTGATCATTGACATTACTTTCTGTCTCACCATCTTTAGATTCAACTGACATGCACGAAGTTTCGTCTAGATAAAAAAAACAAAAATATATTTTGAGGGGCTTTCCTCATCAAAGAAAATCCCAACCAGCCATATGAAAGTCAGAAACACAAAATATGCTGATTTTGTTTTTCGATAGGAGCTTCTTACATATTCTTATGAAGCACAAAATCCTTTACCGTCTTTAGAAAGATCTGTCATTGAAACATTGTAACTTTCTTTTCCATTTAAAGCTGTTAATGGGAGAACTAAAACAAGCAAGAATTTTCCAGATAACGTTTCTCTAAGAAAAAAAGTATATCAAACAGTCAAATTCGTTTTACCGCTACTGTCAATAAAATCATCTTCATCTGTGGGAGCATCTTGTAACATCGTACCATCGGTTGTTGTTTCAGCTACAATTGAATGAAAATAGAAAATTTTCTTCTTCTCTTTTTATGCGGTTTCTTACCAGCATTTGGCGGTTGCGAGATTAGTAATGTATCGGGTTGTTGACGCGGTATCACTGTGGGTCGTGGTGCTGCTGGTAATAGCAAAGTGGTCGATTGTGATTGTAAACGTGGATCGGGTTGCGTATATACTGTTGCTAATAAAACTCTTTGCTCATCATGGTCGTTATTTGTTGTAAGTTTTGATTTTGATTTTGGTTCAGTTAAGTCCGGTGGTGTATATAAAAATTCTTG